CGCCTCTGTGCACTCTCACTAAAATAAAAACCTGCTTCTTCAGAGCATTTCCCCCTTTTTATGTAGTTCGCATTTCATGATTTGTCAAAGTAACTCTTTGATGAACCTAAACACATAGGAGTGTTAAAAATTAATTGTTGGAAATGTAAATTTCGAGTTTTTTTTAAAAATTCAATTGGAAGTTAAAGCTTCATTGTTGACAAGATCTAATTATTTCCATTCCTCCATAGATAAAAATGAGAAAAGCTCTATGTTAATTTCGTGTGCATGGGATACTCGTGGTGGACGAACTGTTAACGTCACAGGGCAACGATAATTTATAGCCCTCCCATAGTATGGGTTAAGTTTGGGTTTCTGCCTCGTCACTAGGTGAAATCTCTTCCTTTTCACATTNGGTTTCTGCTTCGTCACTAGGTGAAATCTCTTCCTTTTCACATTGCTAATTATTATTCCCCAATGAGATCATATATTTTCTGGCTTATTCCAGGCCACCTGCCCTGCATATGCATGACTTCCTGTTCATCGAATTGCACTCCCAAAAGGATTTTATATGTGCTTGGTTCTTCGCCTGCATTAGGAAGCCTCCAAATTTTCTTGAGACATGTGTGCTGGTAAGAGAATTAACAAACAATGATTCTTCAAACATTCATGAAGAAAATGTACCTAAGCAATGGTTCCAATTTAATGTAAAATGGATTCTTAGAAAAAGAAAGTGCTCTATATATTTCTTGTCATGCTTACTGCTCTAGAAACTCTACGCCATAGTACATTGATATGTATGTCTTGCTCATTTGTGGACAGTGGCAAAGAAACCGTTGACATCTCCAAGACAGCTATTGGAAGAGGCGTGGGATTCTTTGGTGGATTGCTTAAACGCTGATGACGTGTCGATTCATCTGCTTCAGTCAGGAATCTTATCAAGAGAAGATTGGAATGAGATTTCAACGCCGAAGAAACTTAAAGACAGGCGAATAGTGTTGTTGATGAAACTGTCGGCAATGATCAATCCCAAGACATTAAATGGCTTCCTATTAGCATTGAATAAAGTTGGGCAGAATGATATATCGGAAAAACTTTGGGCACAATGTAAGTGACTTTCCCAACTGAGAGCGCTACTGATTTTATGTAAGCTATTAGAATCACTTTAAATATTTTAGGAAATAACTTTCACACTCTTTGGAACAGGGAAAGCCGCAGGTACTGCTAAGCATGACGTCGGAAGTTGCCCATTGAACAAGTAAGACATCAGCTTTTTGACCATAAGCCAAACGTCATTCACTATGAAACTCGTAGTCTAATCCTGCTTCAAATATTAAAAAAATTGGCATTTCAGTATTAGATAAGGTAAAGAATGTGGTGGTGAATTAAAATTGTTTAATTGTATGATGGCATTGTTCATGCAATTTTGCAGATTACTCTCTGAGGACGATATCTTCGCGATATCAGAGAAGCTGCCAGATATATCCGAAAAGTGGGAAAATCTTGGACGAGAGCTGGGAATTGACGAGATTACGCTTGACAGAATCCTGCAAATTAGCAAAAGCCGACCAACCTGGACTACTTACCTTCTACTGAGTGAGTGGAGGACCTCTTCGTCCCCGGACCGATCGCCCATATTTAGAGTACTTCACGACGCCCTGCAGAGACAAGGCATACAACTTGCAGCAGACCTCGTGGACCACTACTTCAAGAAAGAAAGCTGTAAGTTCATGACAAGATAAAACTTGTGAGGGGAGGTCCAGCAATTTTCATCACGTGACGTGAGACAGAAAAATAAGTATCCTTCCATCTATGGAGATACTTAGCAATGCAATAATGGAATGGGTGCATCACCCTCCTAAGGGAATTACTAACTTGTCATAATATGTAATGATAGATGCATTGAAGATGTATGTAAAACCAATTGATATAAGTACAGGGTTTTCCGAAATTTTCTTACCCACTCGCACAAAATACTACATGGCTAAATCTTACGTGAGCAGCTATAAATTATCCTGCTCATGCAAATGGACTACATGAAGATCCGGGTGATTGCTTGGACCAGGAAAAACCTGTGCTAATGCCCCAAGTAGCCATAGTAATCCAGGTCCGTCCATGGACAGTCCAGTTATCCAAAGATGGATAACTGAAGCCATAGTCCNATATATCGGAAAAACTTTGGGCACAATGTAAGTGACTTTCCCAACTGAGAGCGCTACTGATTTTATGTAAGCTATTAGAATCACTTTAAATATTTTAGGAAATAACTTTCACACTCTTTGGAACAGGGAAAGCCGCAGGTACTGCCAAGCATGACGTCGGAAGTTGCCCATTGAACAAGTAAGACATCAGCTTTTTGACCATAAGCCAAACGTCATTCACTATGAAACTCGTAGTCTAATCCTGCTTCAAATATTAAAAAAATTGGCTTTTCAGTATTAGATAAGGTAAAGAATGTGGTGGTGAATTAAAATTGTTTAATTGTATGATGGCATTATTCATGCAATTTTGCAGATTACTCTCTGAGGACGATATCTTCGCGATATCAGAGAAGCTGCCAGATATATCCGAAAAGTGGGAAAATCTTGGACGAGAGCTGGGACTTGACGAGATTACGCTTGACAGAATCATGCAAATTAGCAAAAGCCGACCAACCTGGACTACTTACCTTCTACTGAGTGAGTGGAGGACCTCTTCGTCCCCGGACCGATCGCCCACATTTAGAGTACTTCACGACGCCCTGCAGAGACAAGGCATACAACTTGCAGCAGACCTCGTGGACCACTACTTCAAGAAAGAAAGCTGTAAGTTCATGACAAGATAAAACTTGTGAGGGGAGGTCCAGCAATTTTCATCACGTGACGTGAGAAAGAAAAATAAGTATCCTTCCATCTATGGAGACACTTAGCAATGCAATAATGGAATGGGTGCATCACCCTCCTAAGGGAATTACTAACTTGTCATAATATGTAATGATAGATGCATTGAAGATGTATGTAAAACCAATTGATATAAGTACAGGGTTTTCCGAAATTTTCTTACCCACTCGCACAAAATACTACATGGCTAAATCTTACGTGAGCAGCTATAAATTATCCTGCTCATGCAAATGGACTACATGAAGGTCCGGGTGATTGCTTGGACCAGGAAAAACCTGTGCTAATGCCCCAAGTAGCCATAGTAATCCAGGTCCGTCCATGGACAGTCCAGTTATCCAAAGATGGATAACTGAAGCCATAGTCCTTTAAATGTATACAGGATATCATCACCATTGATCGATATCTTTTTTTTGCTTCTGAGTTTTATCTGGGGAGAATTTTCCTGCATCGAACACTCAATTCCTTTCATTTTAGCGGATGACGGTTTCATGGAATGGACTTAAAAGCATTCGATCATCTGACTTCAATAGTTCTTTTATTCGCTTCAAATCTCTCATCTCACGCCGAAACCCAGCAACTAAAATCATTGTAACGTGACATTTTAATTGAAACAGTGCTTGATTCCATTAAGGGTTCGGCATTACGAACGAAAGGATGCGTCAGTCCTTCATTGGGCATCCGTTGGACGTTCAGCAAAGGAACTTCCAAGGACAAATTCTCACGGTCTACCATTGAATGTCCTTATCCCCGCCCCACCCAAGTAGCATGACATTTAGCAGTTTATTCAATAAATATAAAGTTTTCACAATGTAATTGAGGTGGCGCTGAACCCACTAGTCGAACAGGACTAAGGGATTTGTAAGGGATGTCATGTAGCGTTTTCACAGGAGATAACAAACGTTACGTGGTAAAGCGATAATTTTGACTTTAATCGAGACCAATACCAATACCAAACCAAACCAAGGCTTAGCATGCAGGCCACAGTCCCGTTCTATAGGGGGTTGCCGGATACCGTACTGGAGTTAGATTCATGACTGGTTCGGCATCAGTATTGGTAACAAGATATTCTGTTTTATATTATATGTTTGGTTGGCTTAGCATGCAGGCCACAGTCCCGTTCTATAGGGGGTTGCCGGATACCGTACTGGAGTTAGATTCATGACTGGTTCGGCATCAGTATTGGTAACAAGATATTCTGTTTTATATTATATATTTTTCTGCTCAGTTCCTGGGATGAGCTGACATTGACGCGTTGGTAAGCGATGGCCGATCGTTGTGGATATGGAGATATCTTGCATGAATATCCTAGAATTTGTAAGATGGTGTGCAAAATGTTTGAATTTCAGAGGCATGCTTTCCATAGACCTAGTCCAGAAGGTGAGAGAAGTTCCAGAAACGCCGAACGTTTTACGTCCTCTGAAAATTTCCGTGAACGTCATAGTCGGCCCATTATCGCCTAACGTTACTCATGCTCAACAACGTGTCTCTAGGAAATCGGAATGACCCTCATGGGCTTAATTGGCTTAGGGAACCAAGGGTTGAGGCTATTTTGAATGAATAACGGTAAGCCTTTGTACGAACTGAAGACAGTCCATGGATTAGGCGAAGGCATTAGTTCCATTAAGCATTCCAGTTTGAGTCATGTTTAAAAAGGGGGGGATTGAAGACAGGGGAATGGCTTTGAAATATGCTGTTCATAGCTCGTACTACCTCGTCTCCCTCTGATAATGCTGGTCTCAAGTTGAAAGTTTCATATCAACAAAAAATTATTGCATAAAGTGCATGGAGCTTCATCACTCTGTAACGTGTAAGCGCTGATGAAAGGCTTCCTAATTTACATAATCGAGCGCCATGCACGCGGGTATTTCATAAATTCGTCTCCTTTCATGATAAAAGCTAGCAACAAGGCATTCTTAAAACTCCTTCATTTTCTGTCTCCTTGCATTAAACTATTGGGCAGGCTCAATTTACCGTGAACCTGTTAAAATCATTTTGTGTCCCCTACTTAAGTTTGATGACCCGTTTAGACCTATTGTCCCTGTCTCGGAAAAAACATTATGAGAAGACGGGATCCTTTAACAGCGGGATAGCCTCGACCTAGGAAAATGCTATGGCCAGATACATTTTCATCAGAAGCGATATGGAATTATAAACTGCAAATGCAAATCTCAACATCTTTCCTGTTTCATATGCATTCCGCAGCTATGAATGAATACCGTGAGGAAATAGAGCATGCACTTGAAGGGAAAAAAGGAAGTTTACAATTGAAGAACGCAGTTGATAGTTCAGAGTCATCCGATGGGGGAGTGGTAGACCAATCAAAAAG